TAAAATTGATATCAATATAGCAGAACTCTGAAATAATTTTGATATAATATCGCTAAGTGAGACATGGCTTGGCGAAACGATAAATACTAATATGCGAACTATCCCGTCATTTCACGACCCCATTAGAAAAGACAGGACAGACAGACCGGGGGTGGTGTTTTAGTATATATTCGAGTGCATGTGGCTAGAAATCAATTCAAATAATATCAATTTACTTATAGGAAATTTTTACAGACCCCCTAACTCGACCTCTGATATTAATAATAAAATCACTGAATCAATTTCAAGATCAATATATGATGATATAAATAAATGTTTTTTCATAGGTGATTTTAATATCGATATGAATTTTAAACACAATACTTTTATACATAACGCCATTAATCTTTTCGACTTGAAGCAACTAATAAACAAACCTAAAAGATACGACAACAAAGGAAATAGCTCTCTTATTGATTTGATTATACCCAATTGTTCAGGTTTCACGACTGAAACAGGATGTCTTGATAACTTCTGTAGCGACCACTGCCCTGTGTACTGTCGAAAATAAGATGTTATAAAAGAACTATCTGGGAATACAAAAATACCAACTACGAAGGACTGAGACATGACGTAGTTTCAGAACTATTAGAAACAACTATATCAATTTTATAAGAAAATGCAAGCGCGAATATTATGAAAAACTCGACGATAAGATTAACTGGTGGCAACTTGTTAATTCATTTATGAAAAAAACACGACAGACATGTAGTGAATTACCTCCCCTTACACAATTAAGAAAAAACACGACAGACATGTAGTGAATTACCTTCCCTTACACTTGACAACAAAACATTCTTTTCACCAACCGATAAAGCTGGCTGTTTAAACGACCATTTCATAACCCAATCATCACTTGACAGCACAGATGCATTTCTTCCCACATTAATGATAATTCACTGTGTACCATTGAACTAAGTCCACAGGAAGTTAAGGGCATGATCCTAACAATTGATTCATCGAAATCTAATGGCCCAGACGAAATAAGCGGAAAACTTTTGAAATCATTATCTGAAGAAATATCTAAATCTTTATGTAATATATTTAATTTATCCCTAAAAAGTAAAATCGTACCTGATATTTGGAAATTCGCAAACATTACTGCCATCCTCAAAAAAGGCGACCCAACTGATTGTGGAAACTATAGACCCGTATCTCTCTTAAGTATTCTTGCTAAAACCTTCGAAAAATGCATATACAAACATGTCTTTAACTTCTTCCATGACAATTCTATTATTACTAAACTTCAGAGCGGCTTTCTTCACGGTGAATCGTCCGTCTATCAACTTATTGACCTAACTCACACGTTTTGTCAAGCCATCGATCAAGGCAAATATACGAGAGCAGTGTTCTGTGACATAAGTAAAGCTTTTGACAGAGTCTGGCACGCTGGTCTCTGACATAAGTTTGAGGCGGCTGGGGTCAGAGGGGACGTCCTTCACTGGTTCAAAAATTATTTAACTAACCGCAAACAAAGAGTTGTTGTGAATGGCGCCTCCTCCGCCCCAGAACAGTTCCATCCGTTATTCCACAGGGCTCTGTTCTCGGTCCCCTTCTATTTCTAATCTACATAAATGATATAATAGAAAATATAAATTCAAACATCCGTTTATTTGCTGACGACACAAATTTGTTTCTAACAATCGATGATCCAGCTGCAAATGCCGATACAATCAATACCGACTTAGAAAAACTAAATAGATGGGCTAAAATATGGCTGGTATCATTTAACCCCCTGAAAAGCGAAACACTGGCACTAACTATCAAGAAAAATCCTCCACTACCAGCACTTAGATTTAATCAAATTCCAATAAAAGAAGTCAACGAACATAAACATTTCGGTTTAACCCTTCAGTCAAACTGCAAATGGCCCCCTCACGTAGACTCAATTATCAATAAAACAAGCAAATTAATTAACTCCTTAAGGTCACTCAAATATAGGCTTAATCGAAAATCCCTGCATACTCTGTACACTTCCTTTATTTTACCCCATTTCGATTACTGTGATGTAATCTGGGATGGGTGCACTGATGAGCATACTAACAAACTAGAAAACTTACAATTAGATGCACTTCGAACTATATCTGGGGCTGTAAGGGGTACCAGCCATAAACTCTTATATAACGAAACCGGGTTTATTACGCTACAAGAAAGACGCAAACGACACAAACTGACACTTATTTATAAAATCATTAATGACCTGACACCTGCGTACCTAAAAGACTTAATACTGTACCGACCCAAAAATTATCATCTTCGTAACAATGACAATCTTTCAGAATACCAATGTAGAACAAAAAAATTTTCGAACTCTTTCGGACCCTCATCAACCAAAGAATGGAACAAACTTGATATCAATATAAGAATTTCTCCGTCTCTCACTACTTTCAAACAAAATCTAAAACTAAACGATCCTATTATTCCAAATTCATTTCTACAGGGCAAAAGAAAGAACCAGATTATACATAGTAGATTGCGGCTTACTTGTAGCGACCTAAATGGGCATAATTTTTTACGACATATCTCCGAGGATCCATCATGCAGCTGTGGTCATCGCTTTGAAGATTCTGAACATTTTCTCTGCTGTTGCCCACTGTATTCAGATGCACGGAAAAACACTATAAATCTTTTACCATCTCACCAGTAACCCATTAAACCACTTCTTTTTGGCATAGAAAATCAGGCTACATCAAATAACATCTTTAAATTAGTTCATGAATACTTCGATGTCACCAGACGATTCAATATCTGATTTACTCAGAACAATTTAAATTCAAGTTATATAACTTATCTAATTTATATGTTTTTCACCATTATTTTATAATATGTACATAGCAGATCTGTTTATTATATGTTTTATATTCTTTGTACAAGCAGAGGGGTGATATAGGCTATGCCTGTTCCCTGATCTCTTTTCATAAATTTGAAATAAAATATTGTTTACAAAAAAAAAATCAAGTCTCGGTGCCATCTGATAGGTCCGATTTTGAGTGGATTAGAAAGGTTCAGCCATTTAATGATTTAATCTAAAAATGGATAAGCGAGGCTAAACTTCTAACAAACAGTATATTGGTTACAATCAGTGCACACATCTTGTCAAACCTTCATAGGCTAATTATCTTCGCTCAGAATAATGTAGTTTGAATGAAATGTTCAATATATTCATTTTGCAAAAATGAGATGAAATGAAATCGGGTTTAACGTCCTACTGTTCTGCTCCTAAACTGGGCTAATGAAGACAGGCATACGCCATATAGTGTGCTATGAGGGAAATTTTGCCCGGGCAGCTTCGCTACGGCCTACTCTTATATCGAATTCCAACTGCCAAGGGATCTTTTACGTGCACGCCAATGTGTACACGGGACCTCGGTTTTTCGTCCCATCCGAACGATTAGACAGCTGTCCTTGTTAGGCCCTCCGTCCTTATTCATTTTGCATCATTTTGCATTTATTATTGGACTATTATAGCAAGAACGAAAGCGGTTTATTTTTGTTAGCATGGCGTTCGTTAATTCGTCGGGTTAACGTCCGCTTATACCTAAGCGGCTATCGCAGACAGCTTTAATATAGCGAAGACAGTAGTTTAATATCTGAGCGCCATGGAAAACGCATCCTGTAAACATATCTTATTTATTTTGATTCTTATTGTGAACAATATTCAAATGGGAACACATCAATAACAACACATTTGTACACTTATGGATGTTTAATCTGTAATCAAGGGTACAAAGTCAGAGGGGTCAAAACCAAAAGATTGACACAGATGTCAGTAGCGCATGTGTCCTCCACGGGCCATCATCACGGTAGGCTACAGCATTAACGCGACCCCTGCAAATGTGTAGGGCGGTCCGGTGATGAAATGTGAAGCATCCCCACACCATTACACTTCCCCCACCCCATCGATTCGTTTCGAAGACGCAGCAGTCTGCAAGACGTTCCCCAAGACGTGATGATCCCTGGGGATAGCTCCAACATAAGGTCGTCGTGCACGGAGTCCTACTTCTCTTAGACGACGTCTTACGGTGTTGGCACTTACTGGTCCTTGTCTTCCGACGAATGCTGCACCTGTTGGAGTCGCTGGGCGGAATCTGTCACGCAGATGAGTGACCCGGATGTAGCGGTCTTGAACCTGGGTTGTAACGCGTCGTGGACCAGGACGTTGACGGTCACGTGTTGATCCAGTAACTCGAACACGTTCCACCAACCTTACAATAGTGGACGGATGACAATTGAAGTGTCTGGCAATAGGACGTGTAGACATGCCAGCCCTGGACATTCCCATGGCTTCATTCCGTTGATTTTCAGTAAGTCTCGGCATCTCTAGCTCGATTCCTTCACACGTCCAACAAAAAATTACGACAGATTGACGTTTCACAGTTCATGTACTGCACATTAAGTTGAAAACATGCTTTTAAAGCGCTCACACACAATGCTGCACGTGAATATTGGGGTTTTCATGTGCATCTCGTACAATTTTTTTTGGCACACGGGCCGATATTTTTTTGCGTTTGGGGGCTTTGTGTGAAACAATAGTTCATAGTATTGCGTAATATTATACATACAAAACCACCTAGTAATAAAATATTTGGGAAAAAAGGTGATGCGTTTTCCATGGCGCTCAGTATATTTCACGCACTTTGACAGAAAGTCTGGAAAACTTGATATCTGTATTACGTGATATCTGTATCTGAATGCATTGGGGGAAAATATCCCGAAGATTTCAATTCCATGACTATAACTACTACTAAAAGTTGCTTGACTGTCATGTTACACGAATATGGTCTATATTAAATCATATAGGTGTCTAGCAAGTTTCAGTTCAATATCTCAATGCACTGCGAAAAGAGTCCGGAAAAACGAAACCGGAGTGGCAAGGTCACACAATACGCCATTTTATGGCGAAAAAATCAAATTGATGAGAATTTTAATTTTTTCACGATTGTTCGTTGTTTTTTTTTCAGCCCAACGATTGATGATGTGAAAAGCTGGGGTGAATCGTTCGAGAAATTAATGAAAAGTAACTATACATATTGTATTTTATACGTCCACATTTTAATGATTTCGTATTTTGTCGCCATATTGTCTGTTGAATGGTGGGTCCTGCACAATAATGAAAAGAATAGCTACAACTTACGTTGGCTTAATCGAATTTATTGCATTGTATGTTTATTTGACAATACTATTTTTCATTATGTACTCGTATGATCTGAAAGTCTTTATTTGTGTTTTACTCTGGTCTGTTGTGGCTTTCGTTTTAAAAAGCCTGCCTATGGCCATGAAGACACCACAAGTGTTAAGGCTCTAGCATAGCGAGAAACTGTGAAAATGGTAAACACTTGGCCTGGTGGCTCCGTGTGTCATTTCCACAAGACCTTACAGCCCATGATAATATAGAAAAAAAAACTAATTATAACATCGTAAGTAAAGGTACCCGATATCTTATCACGGTCTTATTGAAATTGGGACCCATATTATCGCCACTCCCGTCCTACCCCAGAATTACCCGATTTATGGTTTTTACACTGTGTCTATGTTCATTAGACGAAGAAGATTTTTGATTTTCCACAATTTCCTGTAATTACTCTCAGGGTTATCATTCTTGATTAATTTGAAAAACCTAGAGACAGTTATTATCTGATTGACTTTAAATTATACACATGACGTTTAACCAAGTTATGGTTTTTGGTCAAATTGACTTATAGCACTTGATATCTTTGACGACTTAGAGGCAAAAGATTTTATGTTTATGCAATAAAGAATTCTACTAAAAAATCATTGTCAAAATTATCTTAACTCTGGGATTGTACCAGCTTCTTGGACTATGGGGAGTATTGTGCCTGTATATAAAAAGAAAGGTGACCCCGGCTTACCCGAAAACTATAGACCCATAACGATCCTCAGCTGTCTTGGAAAACTTTTTACTTCCATTATAAATAATAGATTAAATAATTTTGTAGACACACACAATATACTGATCGAAACACAGGCTGGGTTTATAAAATATTACTCCGTAACAGACCACTTATTTGCATTGTATTATATGTTTTAAGGTCTCAGAAAAAGAAAAGTTTTTGTACATTTATAGATTTTTGTAAAACCTTTGATCAGGTATGGAGAATAGGCCTCTGGTATAAAGTTCTGAATTCTGGTATTACTGGTAAATGTTTTAATGTTATTTATAACATTTATCAAGACATAAAGTCCTCTGTGAAATATAAAAACAAAATATCTGAAAACTTTTCCTGTAAGACAGGAGTTCAACGAGGTTAAAATCTCTCACCTCTTTTATTTGCACTGTATTTAAATGATCTCGAATCTTTTTTTTTATATTAAAACATGATTGTAAAGGCGTTCAAACAGAATATGAACATGAACTATTACATTATCTATAAAAAAATACTTCTACTTCTATACGCTGATGATACTGTATTAGTTGCTGACAATTTGAATGATATGAACAAATTGCTAAATACATTTGGTGAATATTGTACTCTATGGAAACTAAATGTAAACATAAATAAAACCAAGGTAGTGTTTTTCGGATCAAGAGGTCAATCTAACGCAACTTTCTCTTTACTAAATCATGATTTAGGAATATGTGATTCATATAATTATCTGGGCGTTGTATTCTCTAAAGGATGCAGCTTCGCGCAAGCGCAACAAAGAATTCAAAACAAGCTTCTAAAGCTCTATACCTTTTGTATTCGAGGATCCATAATCTCAATCTGCAAATTGATTGTCAACTTAAACTTTGTGATCATACTATACTTCCGATATTACTGTACGGTTGTGAAATATGGGGATTTGGGGAATTATCCATCATAGAAACTAGTCATAACCAGTTTTTAAGAAATATATTGAAAGTAAAAAAAAGTACTCCTCTATATATGTTATATGGTGAAACTGGGAGATACCCTATTTATATTATAGAATTGTTAGCTTTTGGATTAAAATGATAAGTGGTAAAACTAGCATATATTCTTTGTTGTTATGTAAGTCTCTGTTTAAAAATATGTAAATCATACTAAGAAATGGCCAATTACTATCAAAAATACTCTTGACGAATGTGGATATAGTTCTATCTATCTATCTATATATATATTTGTGACTGTCGTTTGTCTGTCTGTCTGTCTGTTCGGGATTGGCGGCTACACTAGGTCTGCCCCGAGTCTGAAATTTGGGGTATAGGGGTAGCACGGACCGGGGTGTAACATAGGCCAGGTGGCGTTAGTCTACCACTTCCGGTTTCGGAGTTAATGACCCCCGAGTGAAGCCGGTCTGTTCGGGGTTGGCGGCTACACTAGGTCTGCCCCGATTCTGACATTTGGGGTATAGGGGTAGCTCGGACCGGTGAGTAACATAGACCAGGTGGCGTTAGTCTACCACTTCCGGTTTCGGAGTTATGACCCCCGAGCTAAGCCGGGTATCTGTCTGTCTGTCTGTTCGGGGTTGGCGGCTACACTAGGTCTGCCCCGAGTCTGAAATTTGGGGTATAGGGGTAGCTCGGACCGGGGGGTAGCATAGGCCAGGTGGCGTTAGTCTACCACTTCCGGTTTCGGAGTTATGACCCCCGAGCGAAGCCGGGTATCCTGCTTGTATCTTATAAAAGTATATTTATAATTACTCGGCAATGAGATAAGATACGGTTCTAATTTAAATTCCGTCTTATAATTTACTAGGTTGACACTTTCTTTTTGTAAAGTTTCGTTCAGTGGTTTCAAGTAGGCCTCAATAGCTTCCATATTAAGTCTTGGTATTGACATGTGTTCATGAAGATCTTTATATAACGACTCCGATGGAAGTTTCATTTGGTAATCCACTTGATTTGTTTTGAGTTCTTTACCAAAGTTGAAATTTCTTTCTTATGCATGAAGTCTGAAATAAAAGGGGAAAACAAATTATTAACAGAATGCATCGTATAAAATACTTCCTGTTATGTAACATTTAGAAGATTATTACTTAGTCTAAGCTTCTTATCTAACTTTTTATGGTCATTTTTAAGGGGATTAAATGGGAAATTTGAGATCCTTGACCAAAGGTCTACAAATTTTCTGTCTTTTGTTATTTCCGAAATTCTATATCCATGCATGCTATTTCATTCAGGTCTGGGATTTGCTTGGGACTTTAGGTATCAAAATCAATGATTTCAATATCAAAAATAATATTAGACTACACATACAGAACTTACATGTTCATGTTGCCGATTTCAAACAGTTAAAAAAAACCACGTACTGTTGATACGGCTCAGCGGCGAACTTATATCGTTAATTTAGAGCTATTGGGCCGGCTGGGATTTGCTTGGTAATTCTGTCAACAAAATCAACAATTCGCATAATAATTTTAGACTACACATACAGAAATTAAATAATATGTTGACAATTTAAAATAGTTGAAATAAAGAAATCCTGGGGAATGTCGTAGATAGGGCTCGGCAAGGCCGAACCGAGGTGTATGCAATTGATCCCAAATAAAATAAATGTCAAAATGACTTACCGCTCAATCAATTCTTTTTTATGACCGATAGTTTAGCATTTCCTTTTTTCAACTCCTGTGATGGTCATGCAATCAAATCTCGAAACTTCAGCGTTATAAGAAATTATTCATCGACAAAACACTTCTTAAAGTAGGAGTTTAAGTCTATGCACGTTTCACTTTATCAATATTTACATCGTTTGTTGGTCATATGGGCCCCCTGACAGAGACGCACTCTATTTGATTACCTCCCCTTATCGCTAGCGAGGACGCCCATTTTCGAAATTTGAAAACCAGAAATGGCAGATTTGAAGTAAATGTTTCAAGGTACTCAAAGAAAAAAGAATTGGTCAAATTGGTCAAATTGTCACAAAGTTACAGCTATGTAGGCCAATTTTTTCGTCAGTAAAATTCGGCGATTTCAGATTTGTAAAGCGTTTTGAAAATATATTGATTCCAAAGCCTGTTCCAAAGACTTGTCTCCTTGTTGAAGAAATGATTCGAATTTATCCACGGGGGAAAAAGTTCAGGCGATAAATTTCAGTAATACATATTACATCTGTTTACTCTTGAAAACAACACAAAATAATAGTTCTTACTCTTTATGTTGATATCAAATAGGAACTGTACACTAAAATCTATGTATGTTTCCGAGGAACTTATTACAAACTTGATATAAGTAGCATTCAGAAAGAATAAAATTAACAATCATAAGCCAAATGAAACAGAAAAGGGTAAACACTGATATTAATCTCAACTAGACCTGCAAGCAGCACTGAACCGGCTTTCAGGAATCAGACAGGAAGTCTGTCATACAATAGCCCATTCATCGAGCTACCAAACGATACTTTTGGTGTTTTGATCCGGTCACTCCCGACCCTGAAATCACGATTTTTGCAACAGTACCGATTTTTACTGGGGTTTTTTTAAATATCGAATATTTTTTCGACTACTTCGATTTTTACGGATCATCGTCGGGATAGATTTAACACGTTGTGTGGGAACTTCACTTCCTGTACCAGAAGTTTCAGAAAGATCCATGGGACAGTTTTTAAAAGAAAGGAAAATCAGAAGATATTTAACAATATTTAGCAAATAATTGGTAGTCTGATGCCAATGTGTTAATCTCTCTTATACCATTTTTTCAAAGATTGTGGCCCTTTTTGGACCATTTATACTATATTGAGGCTTTTAAATTTGGATTCACACCCTAGTCCACCGTTAGGACTCTAAGTAACAGAAGTTTAAGAAAGGAAATAAGAGAAGTTTTCGGGATGAAAGCATCTGAATAGCCCCAAAAAGGAAAATACTAGATTTTCAGCGTCCCATTATATATTGCCTAACCAGGGAATTTTTACCATTTAGATGTCATACGATCGTCCATTGTTCGGGCTATCCAATGACACTTTAGTTGTTTTGATTCGGTGAATGTCACTTCCGGTACCAATGAAACCATTAAACAGGTTTTTCGTAAAATAAAGCCACTTCCGGTGCCGACAGATATCTCTATTGGTAACAAAAAAAATGACAATTGAGACAACGGAG